GAATATAGTACAGTGTTATTACTACATGTTTCTACAACTGTTATAGAATAAATGTGTGTTTTATGAACTATAGTTGTTAGAGACCTTTTAACATGACTATGATAAAAACCCAGTTATTTATGCACATCCAGCGCTAAATTTTCTCTTCATTGGGAATAAACTCTACCACATAACATGGACTCAGAGGTCAAGAAGTATCACTCCCTTGTATGAACGACTGAACCGCATGTTTTTGTCTTGTCCTTCGATGGAGGATTTAGGCATATACTCAAATTCAGTGGAATAAATCGTTCATACCCTAACATTAGCAAAAAAGCTATAGCAATATACACTATATTTTTTCCATACATTTCCGTTCTTTCGATTTCCCTGACAGCGTTGTGTGAATTGTATTTATGGCCTTCTACTCTTTACGATGTTGTGATTGCGTGTCTCTCCCTGAATCTGCACTTAAACAGTTGTTTGTGATGCCGTGTTCCTGGTTCACTTCACGAGCGCAGCATCTCATTGGTTAATCAGCGCGACGTTCCCATTTCCTGCAGTCCTATCAGTCACCCAAATGCCCCATGTCTCATAAGCACCAATCTACATTTGTCAAAGGGCTGTGTAGAATTAAACCCTGGTGGATTCTTCTCTCCATGACCTTGGGGCTGGACCTTGGATCTCTGATGTCAAAACAGCAATGATAATACCAAAGCGCCATTTGACAAGCTCCAGAAAATGGGCGCGCCACTTCTCACTTCTCCCTCTGCCAAATGATGAAGTAGCTGTGACTATTGCAGATTCAGTATCACGACTAGAGGTTGTACAATGGGCAATCTATTTTACTCGATTCTAACGGAAATACTGTCTCTGTAAAAAAGTATTTCAAGGTTTTACTTCTCTTACATGATAATAGTAGAACTCATGTGCATTTGCTGAAGAGTATACATGAGTAAGGAGGCTGAAAATAATATCGATTGGCAACACATTAAAAAAGGTATCTCTGTTCTCGATGCAGTGAACTCCAAACTCCACAGGATTCAACACAAAATATATATGGTTTGGCCCCCCATTGAACGCTCTGCACCAGCTTAACAAAAGAACAACACTATTAGTGCATTTATATTTCATTTTTTGAAGATTATTTGTGAGTAGAATCAAAATATGTAGTAAGTTTTTTCTTTCATTGAATTGGGTGTTCTATAATATTTTCAGCTCACTCAATACTTAGTAACTTAAAGCTTTCTTATTACATTACATTGTTACATTCAATTGTTCTCTTTATCATTTAGAACTAATCATTTTATTCAGCTACAATGTAAATAAAGGCTACACAATTGTTGTTCGGTAATTGTTTAAATGACCACATTTAATTACAAAATTTAAATGTTTATCATTCTACAATACTGTACCATTCCCCATGCTAAAGTATTAATTTTTCCTAGGGCTGCACAATATATCGAAAAGATGTTGTTATCGCAATATTGGTGCGTGTGATATCCATATCAAAAAGATGCGCAATAAAAAAAAAGGAAACAAAATATTTTCCTTAATTAAAGACAACAAAATAGACTTTCAACAAGAACCACAAACAAACAAAAAAGTATAGAAATATATACATTTGAAGGTCATTAATGTTGTGCTCTTTTTTGTTATCTGTCTCTTGTGTTTCAATGCAGATTGCAATTTTAGGTGAAAGACAAAAATATCGCAATAATATAACACTTATGTCAAATATCGCTCTAATTTCTAATATCTATAACGTGTATATATATTCTAATTTCAATATCGTGCAGCCCTAATATTACCTGGTACTTATCGTTGGTAATTTAGACAGTTCACTCTAAAATCAGACTTTTCGTTGTGGGTCCAAACGCTTCCATTATCATTTTTTTATTTGTCTGTGGTGTGATGCGCTCTGGGTCATTGTCCACAGCTTGCGCATGCATCATGTTGGTCTTAACAGTAAGTTTTATCTATTGCTTTTTTGTAATGACTTTGTATACAAAACCCATCGTTGCATTTCCCCTTGTAAGAATATACGGCTGTCACCACATACCGTAATACCAGCATAAATAGCACACATGTTTTTTTAATCATCATTATTGTTTTTATTTTAGTGCTGAGGAAATGTCCTTTTTGCATGCTTGATCAGCCAGTGGAGAAATCCAATATAATGGAGGTTCAAGGTGAATTGCATCCCCCCACCACCCCTTGCTTCCATAGCGAGGAATATTCGCCAAGCCAAATAAACAAATCATGCAGACAACAGTAATATAGGCTTTGATTTTGAAGGCATGAAATAAGTATCGATTAAACGCGGCCGTTCATAGATGAAAATGGCCTTTTTGGTGATTTGTCCTGGGGTTCCTTCAATACGCTGGCATAGAGAGAGGAGAGAGAAGACGCGCTGCCCCCTCTGCGAGCTCATTATCATTCTTAATAAGTCTTAAGGAAAGTAGGAGAGTGTAAATGCAAGGTAATCCGTACACAGTGGCCAAGGTTAGCAGGGACACTCAAGCACATCCCAGCTGGCTGCTTTTGGGACAGTGATGGGACTCTTTCGAAGCACACTTGTTCAAGGAGAGACATTCAGAGGTGATGCAGTCTCAGTGTGGGCCCGTAGGTTTTGGGCACGGAACCACCTGGCATTTCAGCACACATCCCGAATATTAAAATATGTGCTGGGCAGGACAATGGAGATAGAAATCAAATTGTGTTGAGATTTATGCAGTACTCTACACTCAAGCAAAGACCCTTGGTTCTCGGTGGACAGTGGTTTTTAAAGTGGGGGGCATGAGGTTGTAAGCTGGGGAACCTGATAGGATTTGTTGATACGATCTTATAAGATTTTCCTTGTATATCATTCATTTTAGTGGAATTATGACTATAAGCACATTCAATCAATGATTGAAAAAAAGCCTTTTGGTTTGTAAAATAGTCGCTTTGGTCGTTTAGTCGTTTTGGATATGAAATATTATTTGTGATTGGTTGTTATTGTTGACTAATGACCAATTCCATTACTAAACTGAACAAAATTATTCAAAAAAACACCACTACAATGGATGTAGATTTTTTCGGCTTTAGAGTTGATTTCATGCATAATAGGGGGTCAAAAGTCTGAGAATCACTGGGTAAGTGAGTGACAGTAGAATATAATAATTTACAGTGACGCTAAAACTTCCAGAAGCGGTGGAATAAATACTAAGTTTACATAATTTGTGACAAAACTAAAATTTATAGATTGACAAATATTTTGCGCTGATATGTACTAACACAATAACAAGCTTAGGACCAATAATTTCTTAACGCTACTATTTTACCGCAGTGTTATCCCTGTTTTACGTGAGTGAAAATTGTCGCGACAATTCAGTTGTAAATGAAAATAAGGGGCATCATGAGCACATCTTCACACTTGACACTGGTCCATGCTGTTTGGTTGACTGTTGGCTCAATCTGCTCTTTGGGTGAGCTCCAAAAACGAGCGTTAAGATGAATTGGACGAACCGGTGACCAATTAACTCCTCTAACAAATTGCTGGAGACTTGTAGCGGTTGTTGAGCTATGCTGTTTTAATGGAAATCCAATGCAGCATGTGTTTCTATCATGTAGACTGCAGGCAGGATTGAGTGTAGCGTCACTCACTTTGCAGTGTTGGTAATAATGCGCGTTCCTCTCATTAATCAAATCAGATCTATGAGTGAGGTGCTGCAGATGAATACAGTTCCGTGAAATCAACACGTGCTTTTTTGTCACTGGCCACTGGTTAGACCATGTTTTTACTTGGTCTTTTTATATTGGACCGAAATATTGAATCCAACATTTCCAATATTGTGTTTACCGTAGCTGCACATGAGAAAAATAATAATCCTATGACATTTGATAATTTGTGGCCTTACCTGCATGTGATGGCCAGATACCATCAGACCTCTGAAGGGCAGGATGGGAGACCTCTGGGAACACCAGGTGCCAGGGTGGGGCGACAGCGGCTGTAAAGTACCAAACTGGTGTTGTGTTCTTAGTCAAGACACTTCACCCACATTGCCTAGACTGAGTCTGTGGCTACAGTAGTAGTTTATAACCACCAGAGAAGTGTCTGAGTGTCCTGAAAAGCGCTATATAAAACCGATGCATTAGTATCATAATACTTATCGTTGATGTTGCTGGAGTACCTTAACTTTCAAACTAAAACATGTAATATCATGTGGCAGAGGTATTTCACTCTACCTCTGCCACATTTTTAGATCAGCTTTTTCAGACAGAAAAGTGAAAAAGATATGAACTGTCAATTTGTCCCTCACTAGGCTTTTTCGATAAGATAAAATGTTTTTTAAAAGTATGAAGACTGCTTGTTGAGGTGTTGTGGTCTGATTTGCTGAGTTGCTTTTACCAGAGTTCAGAGACAAACTCAATGTATTATGTACGAGAAAAAAGCTAGTTACTCCAGCTTTAATTGCAGGCGTTGTACACATTTTTTGAGTCCATCTCTCAGGACTTTAGTCACATATACAACACATCTTCTCTGATGCTGGTGCAACTTTAGACACAAAAATGGTTCAAAATGAAAAAAAAAAAAAGACCCTTGGTTGTCATAGATATACTGTAACTATGAAGCAGGCCAACAAATTATACTCATTATTTAATGACAGTCTTTGATCCATACCTTTTAACTGTGTTTTGTAGTAATTCCTTGTTCAGTTGCTAGTGCTGTTGAAACTTTAAAAGGGAGCCAGCAGAGGTGAATATGAAACAGGATCTTGGTGCAGAGTGAGTGCCCTTTGTCGTTCGCACTGTAACACAGCCTCAGTGCTTTTCTGTCATATCTCCTTGATTTACTCAGAGACAGGTGTTCAAGCTTTTGCTCGTGAACCCGAAACATTTTCTTCTATTTATTGCCCATCTGTGTAGAGTCACAAGCTTAAAATACACGTGATTTGCACCATCGGCGACAAGTGAGCATGTGAAGCTAGACCTATTGTACAAGTAAATCAATTTGGCTTTAAATAAAAGGTGTTCCTTTACACCTCTATCTGAACATCCTCCTGCTCCTCCACATGCCTCCCGAATGCCTTGTTGGTGATGTGCTCATGTCCTGTCAGGAGGTGGCCTCTGGGTTTTGCTGGATGTCCTGTGACTCAGCCCCAGAAAATCAAAAGAAAACGTATGGAAAGGGTTTGTATGAGTATCTCCATATCAATATTATAAGAGTACAACAGAAATGTATAAAACAGTTTTTAATTTATTAAATATTAAGTGCAAGATTATTAAATATACAACTGGAAGCTCAACTTTAATTTTTAATCAGTTGTATCAGCATTTTTATATAATTAATTAAAACTATTACAAATATCTATTTTTTTATAATGCCCTCCCAAATCAAGACATTCAACAACATAAAATGTCACTTGTATTAGTTGCTATTTCCAATGACCCAGGCATCTTTATACATTATTATACAGCTGTATTTAGTGGCCTCCAGGGAGCTTTAGGAGGCAAAGGCGTCTCCATGGTGACGCACACCCCCCCTCCTAAAAATACAAACACATACACACACATGCACACTGACTGGAGGTGAGAAGGGAACAAATGCCACAGCAACAGGTTTTTTGTCTGTTTTTGTTTTTGATACAACTCTCCTCGGGATTGCACCACAGATCCTGCAGCGACTCAACGGCTGCAAAGGCTCATGGGAAGACATGGAAACAAGTTAAACATGGAAAAAAAAATAAGGGTTGTTTGACCAGTTGCATTTTTATGGCCTATTTGCTGATGGTAAAGCGGTGTTATGTAATCATAACATTCAGTTTTCGTTGGTGCAGAAAACTTTTTCATTTGCTGTTTATGCATAACATTCGATTGAAAAGCATTAAACAGAATTGACCTCTATTTGAAAACCTGCACTTAAAGTTATAGTCTGTAACTCTAAATGAATTAAAAATTTTAGGAAATGTGTTAAATTGACCTCCTGGCCTTAAATGTTGATATAAAATAAGTCATTTTATTAATTCTAATTGCTTGCTTGCAATCACGTGACGCATAAACTTCCGGTTGACGAAGTGGTGGTCAGGCCAGCAAGAGTTGCTGCTGATATATGAAGAAAATGCGACTCTTCCGAGTATTTTTTTTACTTTTTTGGATATTTCATGACACTTTGAAGCTACTGTGGTGAACGTTCTAACTCATCATTCTAACAATATGCACAAGGCAGAATTGTTCCACTACATGTTTTGGTAAGGGTTAGGGTACCGCTGCAAATGCTAACATGCTAATAATGCTAATAAGTCTCTATTCCTCCGCTGTATGTTACTTACATTCTGTAAAGTCTTTGTTTATGCTGCCTCTGCCATCGACAATAAAACATGTCTTCTGTCTGAATTAAAGACACAATCCTAGACTGTCATTTTCTTCACTTTAGATTCTAATCCAGGAGCTAGTGTTACCATCAAGCTTTTGCGCTGCTAAACAAACAAAGGTTTGCATAAACATGGATACTGCAACTTTTCCGTCTGTCTGTGGGTTTAAGAACTCAGAGTTAAGGTCCTGAAGGACAAATCCTGGATCGTAAAGAGCCGTGTAAGTAACGATTGGTATGAACTTATCATTCTCAACAAAACAATGCGTCTGTGGCTGTGTTCTTTTCAGGTCAAACATTCAGTGTTTATTTAAAACGCCAACTCGTACCTGACAATGAATGAAATAAAGATGGGGATGTAATAACTGTGCATTGTGACTGCACGGCTGGGCAAATAAATAATCCTTCAAGGTAAAAGCGTCTGCCAGTGAAATGTTAGCGAGCCACTTTTCCTGCGTCTTTTCGTAAAGTCTTTAGTGCGAGACTCTTTATTAATCTCTTCACGAGGAATCCTAAAGTATCCATTAAAGATTTCACGATTCGATCGGTTAGAAAACTTAAAACAACACATGAAAAAAGGCATAAACAGACACGCTGCTCTAGTGAACAACTAGCTCGGCTGACCACCACTTCGTAAGTCCCGCCTTCCCTTCTCATAGCTATAGCTCAGTATCCACGGTGCCGTCGAGGTTAACCAATCGAGTCATGCCAAGGGCTGTCAATCATCAGCGCTGATACCTCCGAATCAAGCCTCTATTAGGCTCTGGAACTACATGAAAACGGAGCCAAGAAATCTGAACATCCGTGCTGAGGTACTTATGTATATACTGAACCTATATCTATAATCATATCCTCTGCAGATGTGTCCTATAATCTGCAGTTCATGATAATAGCACTTCCGGGTTTGCAGCGATCGCTTTTTTTGTGCATAAAAATATTATTTTTTTCATTAAAACGTAACAAATAATTCTGAAAACCTCCGTGCATGTGTATTAATATATGTACTGTATAATGTTCTATATGTAAAGGATTAGAGAGACATATTCAAGCCACATCAGATTACCACTGGAAATCTGTAAGTAGCCAACAATATAATACATGATATATACAGCCCACTTCAAATACAAGCAGTTATAAAACAAGTTACTGTGGAAAGGTACCATTGAGCTCATGATAACATCATTTCAATCTGAAGAGACCAAAGACACAATTAATACAATAAAATTATTAATTGTATTAAATGAAATAAAGAATTGCGCATTGACCCCGGCAGTGACACTTGCAGCAATGAGATCGATTGCAGCTGAAGATGATCTCAGATCCCCCGGGGTCAATCACTGGTGGTGGCTAGAGTATGGTGTGAATGGGGCGTAGGCGGAGCAGGAGCCTAGAGCGGGAGCCTAGAGCGGGAGCCAGAGCGGGAGCCAGAGCGGGAGCCAGAGCGGGAGCCAAGAGCCAGAGGGGGTGCTGGTGGTGGGTGTTTAAGAGCCTCAGGAAGCGTTGCTTGTCAGGAAGTGGCTGCCTTTTAAACTTCCCGCTTTGCTGTGAGAGGGTTGGCAGGAGGCTGGCCTGGCTGTGTGATTGGCTGAGGCTCGAGCCTGGCAGGCACTCGGTCTTTCAGTCTGAACCTGCGCATTCAGCTTCATATGTTGGTCTAACCAAAACTACAGCTCACATGTAAAATATCCTCCTAGAGGCATGAGGGACTGACCAAATTGAATTTGTTTTTGACTTCACACAGCTGATGAATTGGACAAAACGGCTCCACAAATAATGACATATAGTTTATCTGAAGTGATAATTTCACCAAGAATCCACAGCACGCTCCTGCAGTTGTGCTCCTGCAGTTGCATGGAGCAGCAAAAGACCCGAGAATGATATTATGACATTTACATCACCCCCAGATACATCAGGTCATCATTAAACCAGGGACGTGCGGTGAGGTTTGTGATTGGGGCGGCACTGACTCTAACAGTCAGATTTACCATCATTATTCTAATAAATTAGCATTAAATCGTCAATGCAAAAACATCTATAATATTGGTTATTGGTTATTTGAACTGTCTAAATAACCAACGATAAGTACCAGGTAATATTAGGGCTGCACGATATTGAAATTAGAATATATATATTATGTACTGTAAAGATAAGAGAACCAGAATATTATTACAAATCCCACAACAGCTCTAGACGCTGGCTCTCCGCTCCGCATCAAACCAAGTCTTTGCGAAGCACAGGTGCGAGAGACGAGAGGAGGGAGCGAGAGAGAGACGCAAGGAGCGAGAGAGAGACGCAAGGAGTGAGAGATGCGGGGAGAGAGAGAAAGAGAGAGACACTAGGAGAGAGAGTGACGCAAAGAGCAGGAGATGCAGGGAGAGAGAGAAAGGGAGAGATGGGGAGAGATAAACACAAGGAACACAAACAAGAATTAAAGAAGTTGCAGGACTCTTGAGCAGTGTGTAAATCAGTGTTTTTTTCGGGGAAGCACTTTTATGCAGCTCTAGTAACTTTTCAATATAAAACACAGACACCGGAAAACTCCTCCCCCGCGGCCGGACTAACCTCGTCCGTCCAGCGGTGGTCTTGTCTATATTCCTTCTTGCTTTGATTGAAAGTCCAGTTGAGAAACAAATCCTCAATCCAATCATCCATTTTCCAGCAAAAGAAATAGCGCCGACAGGACTGATTGTTGGTTAGCAAAATATTTTCAGTCTGTGTTAGCATCTCGGATATGAACTTTATGCTCACGATCACTCCTCGCGGTGAGGCACAGACACTGCCTGCCTCACGCTAAGCTTTTTCCTTGTGCATTCTTCTCCGATCAAAATACTTCAAATAATTATAATTAGTACACACATACGTGCAATACATTACTAAACACTATGACAAGTTAAACAAATGTTTTCATAGCAGGATGATGAAACAAAAAGCGTTATATCAACAGCACGAGCTGAGTGCACTCACACACACACACTACGTGGGAGCGAGCGGTCGGGGGGGAGACACGCAGGACACACACCTCGTCTCTTTGAATAGGAAAAATAGGATTTCAGCAATTTTGAGTACAGAAATGATCAAAACTGCTCGGAAACAGTCGGAAAATACTTTATAAGACAGTGGAAAACAATTATATATTTTGACTAAAATAATAATTATTTTTTCAATGATGGCAGGTGAGGTTCTGCCTCCCCTGCCTCCCCTGCCTCCCCTGACTGCATGTCACTGCATTATACCATACACATGTAGCTCTCCTTCACTTGACCAGGCAGCATGCTATTGGTTCACTTCTTAAGCCGAGAATCCTGCTTCTTTATTATGTGTTGTCGTGGAGATGTGTTGTGCTTGGCCTTTACCTTCAGGCAGCTCCTCTGACAGCTTCAGTGTTGCCCCCAGGCTCAGAGGTTCAGCGGCAAAGTGCGGGGCAAAAGGGCACGTTAGCGGCTTCAAACCCACAACCTGAGCGTCTGGCATCATGTCTGCACTTACTGGCCTTTGCTCTCGAAGGAGACAGTATTGCTCCCAAGTTTGGCTTGCATTGTTCTGTTTGTTTCTTATGGTATGATAGCAGGAGTTAATCATAACAAAGTAGAGGTTGCATCATTTATTATTGTAGAAATGTAAATACTGTAGTCCCCGCCAAACCTTTTGTCTCTCCGATTCAATGTTGAATGCTCGTGCTCATGTTATTGTTCCGTGTGAGATTCAAGGAAGTCTCATTTGAATAAAAGGTGCATGGTTTAATCAAGATACACTTTTAATTAAAATGTTTTATTAACCAGTTACAAAGTCTTTCGTCAAATTATTGCAAAGTCCCAATCTTTTTTGATTGGGACTTTGCAATAATTTGTTTCGCACATGGGGCGACAGTAGCTCAGTTGGTAGAGCATTGGCCTTAAGCCCAGAAGGTTGTGGGTTCAATTCCCACCTCTGCACCTTCTCCATCGACTCCCACTGATGACTGCTGTTGTTGTGTCCTTGGGCAAGACACTTAACCCCACTTTGCCCAAAGCCCCCACTGAAAGATCAAGGCTATGCTCACATAGCCGTCCTCCTGTGGACTCACCACCTGCAGAGGATCAGTGAGGGGCTGGTGCTATGAGACTTGGGTGGCATCTCTGACTGCCACCCCCCTGACCCAGAAATGGATTAAAGGGTAGAAAATGGATGGATGTTTCGCACATGATTGGATTTTCAATGCACAAAATGTAGAAATGGGAGTGAGACAAACATATTAGAAGTAGAAATCTATTGAAAATGACAATTAATTAAACTGAATGAAGCTGTTTTACATCTGTTCAAAAGTTTAGAACCACATCTCTAAATACACCCGTCAACCTCCCCATAGCTTTTTTCTGTCTCACATATTTCTTCTTGTTGCATATTGAAGCTCTCCTTGGAAGCTTATTATTATCCAACCATGCAATATTATTTTATTTTTTGCCATTTGTAAAGTGCTTTATTTTTTGATTGATATATTTATCCCAGAAAATGGTTAACACTGTTTTACAAAGACAGAAGTCATTTTGTCTCCACGTGTGCTACGCAAGACCTTCCACATTCGCAAATCCAAGGTAGCAGTTAGCTCATTAATTATTGTTGATGTGTAGCTTTAGCAGTCAGGCCTTTTCATGCCAAGCCTTTAGGACTCTGCTGTGTCTCTGAGCAGATGCAAAGGTGCTTGTCCTGAGAGACCCTTTTATGTTCAGAGACTTCTCCTTATTCTCGACCCCAGCCTCTGTCTCAATCAGGCCTAATCCCACTCCAGAGTTCCTCTTGGCTCCTGGAGTAAATAAATTTTTCAGCGTTTATTAGAATACGGCTTGCCAGAAGGGACTCTCCTATAGCCGCTTCAGTAATTAGCAAATTGATTAGGAGAACTTTAACACACCACCTTGGCTCTTATCTCTGCCGTTCTAGGACAATATTGTGGTGCCACGGGATCAGCGTAAATATTTTAAGGGAAGACCCCATTGGTGAATAGATTAAATGGCTAAGGGGCCCAGCAGCTGTCTCTTGTGGAAGGTCCCAGCCAATTTTCTCAACTATGATTAAAGAAAAGTTTTGGATATTGAAACACACTATGTCCTTTGGGTTTCTTTGGTTACACACAAGATCACCAGATCACGCACCCTCTTTTACCGTTCTGTGACACATCCCTTTGGATCCATTAATATGAAATGGTTTGGGGATGAGTCTTTGAAAGAGCTGGACACGCAATGTTCAAAGTGAAACAAAGACCGCTCCTTTATGCACAAATGCTAATTAAAATATTTTTGCCCCCTTCCGCCAGACTCCCCCATGCTTGTCCCCAACTGGCATCTCAGAGAACAACTTAGCAATTTGGCACAAAATCAAATCGAATTTTAAATGGAGCCATTTAAGGCTTGTGTTTGTTTTGAGGAAGACATACGGCACAAACTGAGAGCCAAAGCAATGAATGCTCTATGTAAATCTCAACCTGTATTGCATATATGGCCCACATATAGGGAGATACTTATTTGTAAATGTGCATGAAGTGAGTAGTAAAACTCATTGAACTCATGCCCTTTGGAAGCATTTAGATATTCATTTTGCGTTTTAGAGCAAAATAAACTGTGGAAAACCTTGTCAAAAGAGATTTGTTTGTCTCCAAAAATGCAGCTTAGAAGCTGTCCCCCCACATTTGGTATACATCATTAAACTCCTCGTGGCCAATCAAATCACCCGCTCACATGGCATTCCAGTTCCCATTAGTGACATCTCGTTAGCGGAAAACAGAAAAGTGACACAAAAAATTTAGGGAAAACAGCCCTGAATTGTTTATCTGTCAGAAAGTGTAATACGTATTGTGCTGAATTAAGATCCTACTTGTGCATTCATATGAAAACAGCTCTTTTCAAAATAAGTACTGTTTTTATATAGGGCATAAGAAGGCTTAAATGTGGTTCAGAAATGTGACAATATTCAGAATGATAAAAACTGGACTAAACAGGTTCTATGCTATGAATAAACTCTCCAATAAAAACAAAAGAAAATATGAAATGCAATCACATCTTATGGTCATCTTATGGTTATTTTCCCTGTTAGGATGAATACAAAAGTGTGCCAGCCTTTGTTACATTTGATCTTTTGGATTATTATTATATAGTAGTAAGTAGTAGTAGTAAGTAATCTTTATTTATATACCGCCTTTTCACTGCACATCGGAGTCTCAAAGCGGTTTACAATTGTGATTTTGTGTGGGGGTGCCAGTACAGGAGGCACATGCCAGACCTATTGTACATATTTTTAGTGGTAGGGGAAACCGGAGCACCCGGAGGAAACCTACACAGACACGGGGAGAACATGCAAACTCCACTCAGAAAGGCCCTGGTCCAACCGGGATTCGAACCCAGGACCTTCTGGAAATATAGATTTCAAATGTACAATAAATATATAATAATGAGCCACAGATGTTTACTATGTAGTAAAAAAGTTCTAAACAAAACCTTTTTGAAATATTAACTTCTTTCTCCAACAAAATGAAAACCAAGATTTGGAAATCAAACACATACCTGCAATCTAAGCACCCCAGCCATCAGAATCAGAATTGCTTCGTATCCATAAAACCTATTAGGGACAGCACAACAAGTGAAGCCTGACTTGTAAGTTTAAAGGCTTGTTAATTGGCTGTGATTTGGCGTCCTGCAGTAGCAGTAGCAGTGCGGTAATGATCCTGCCTGGATGATACATGACTCATGGGGGGACTTATTGCACCTTAATGTCTGGATCTAACGGTGGCCCACCCGTTAAACTGTTGGCTTCATCTCTGCTCCGGTGTGGACTGACACAGCAATGCGTTTGACCGCTGACCCCCGGGCTGAGTTAGACTAGGTCTCACCTTGACCTCCACTTCCTCAACTGGTGCGCACTTCAGGAAGGCACAAGAGATCTGAATGGACAGCGCTTCAGAGGAACATGATTTGCATTGGTTGTTCATAAAAGCACACATGAAAATACATGGGTGAATATAGTGTTATGCACACTTTTTATGCCTGTTATCTTTTTGAGGAAAACCTTTTTCATCTACAACAATCCACCTTATGTTTGACACTGAGACTCTATACTTTCAGCGTAACAAACAACTAACCTCATGGGCCTCTCCCACTGTAAACTGTAGGCTTTATCGTCTCCAAGACAGGCTCGCCTCATAGCGTGCTGCTCTGTCAAATATGAGAAGAATAACGATAATCTGCAATTTCAAGGTAAAAATAAATGAAATAAGGCAAATTTACATTTTGATAATACAATAGCACCAATCAATTGACATAGTAATTATTATTTGCAGTATATTCTTTATTCCATGACAGCACGTCTTTTACTCCTTCATTGGCAAGCAATACCTATGGAGTGTTATCCTGAATAAACAATTGGCAATGTAAGTTTTGGCTGGTGGATTCTTGGAGAGCACTGTAGGAAACACTTCTCTCCAAGACCAGTGAGACCAGTCCAAACCACATAGCACTTTGAATGTAAAGCTCTAATTGTAACAGATCTGATCATGAAACTTCACATCGTTCCATATTTACTGACTTACTCTTTTGTTTCTGTCAGAACTGAGAGAGCTGTTCTAATTGGCGCCACACGGTGCTGCTTTATGATGCTGATTGACAAACATTGTTGCGGAGCTAATGGCACAAAGGGGATTGGATTGATCAAGTGGATGGCTGATCATAAAACTTCAGTCAATATTTGGCTGTGGCTTGATTTCCATTCTGGCAGAACATTTGAAGAGTGCACTTATGACAAAAGAATATTTACATTTAAGTCGCCCCTGTCTGTTTGTTTCATACTGTAAATAATATAACAAATGGTTCTACATGTTTATTCATTAAGTGAAAATGGTGACCAATTCTGCAGAGGCTGGGATCAAAACCTCCCACTAATTACTAGAGTGCATATCCCTGTCCCTTTGCTGCAAATGACAGTATTAAAATCCCCTCTTTTATTCACAGAAGTAAAATTTTAGCTTCAGAGACAATAGGCTGGTCCAGTTTTACGGCAGAGCAGACTTTATCATTTTAATAAAAACTGGTGACTTGGTGAAAGTTTAATTAATAAGAGACTTAAAGCTAGTGGAAGGGGCAGGGGAGTTAGCTCTTGAAGGGGACGCTTACTTTTCCATCTGGGCTATTCTCCAAAAAAATGCTCAATTAGTGCGTTAAGCTGAACAGACAAAAACGTCATTAGTTTGGTGCTAAAAGAATAATGGGTTTTAAAGACCAAAAGCACAAGAGTGGTGCTAATGCGTTTTCACCTATTTCCTGCAATATTCCACGTTTGACAGAGAGGGTTCGGGAGTGCTGTGTGCGTCTGGGGGTTTGTCGGTGACTGTGCATCTCCTACTCTGCGGTTTTGGGATGTTTTCATAATATTGATGCACTTCATGAAGACAGGAAATAGATTGAGAAGGTGAAAGCTAGAGAAAAGAGAAAAGTGTGAGTGTGGCGCCA